CAGGCACGCGAACACCACGCGTCGGGTCGCGTTGGTCCCAGTGAGATTATGTCAGCAGTGGAAGTGCTTTAGTGCTTTCTGCCTCAGGCAAATTTAAGTGAAGTCGAGGTCAAATACAATAATTATGTCAGCCAGTTAATAGATGGAGGCCTCAGGCAAGTATATCCGTGAATACCCGAGTATACCCAAACATACCCGTCCTGAGATCAGGCGATCATATCGTGCCCTAACATCCAACTCTATAAAATATACATATGTACACATAGTTAATGATCCTCACAAGACGGGCTCTAATATCATGATTCAGTCACTTTGCATCTACAGATATAGTGCTTCAACATCAGCATATGCAATGCAAACGAAGATTCTACTTGTGTAATATGTAGGAACCATACCTAGATGGCCCGGATTCCGGCAGGTTTCTGGGTCCATCGCACCAACCGGGTTTTTTTGCCATTAACCAGCCGCCATGAATCAACATATATACATATATCTATGTAGTATCTTAGAGGTCTAGAGATAGCTCGTATCAAAGATGCTTCGCTAATAATATTATGGGATAGTTAGCCGTTATATTCTCAAAGACCCCAGAAAAGACCTTAAAAGGACCGATACAAAGATGATGACATTTTAGTTTTTATAGTAGTGCTAGACTTTATCTACAGTATGTATGAGCGGTTTGGATATTTTAGGTGTTTTGGAATAGGGCATATGTCGATTTCATAAAATCATCGCTCTAAAATGGAGAAATCATCTCATGTTTATGAGGGCTTATACATACATTGGCGTAGTGAGCCCCCAAACCTGTCGTACCCGGATAGAGGCATATTGAATCTTTGTAAGAATCTGGCCCATTCATTCAGCGCATTGAATTCCATGCATCGAACCTAGAAACTACTAGTAATATGAGCCCAGTATTTAGAATACAGAGGCTCCAGGGCTATATCCTTGTCTGACAGAAACCAGTCCCAGATAGTGCAATATACCATTGGCTTTACCAGCCGCCCAGGCATGGAATACTAGAATAGGACAATAGGACAGCATTAAAAACCATTTGGTTGTATAGATTTCCCTAGCCCATTAGAGGAACTGAAGCCACGCTTAGTCGTCTACTACTTCTGGATTTGGAGCCACGCTTAGTCGTCTACTATTTCCTCTTATAGATCGTGACACGTTAAACGTAAACGTGCTTTATTCCTCTTCTTGAGTTTCTAGCCCACTGTCATTCTTTCAGATCTCAAACCAGCCGATAAAGTTCCAATATGTCTCTTTTCATTTGATCTCATTTGATCTGGTCATTTTGATTTGATCTATTTTGTATTAACACCCTCCCCACTCCCCAAATCTATTGGGTGCATGCGTGTTGCCTCTTCGCCTGTCGCATCAACGAACTATGAGTGCACACCACACCACACCACACCGAAAACAAGCTCAGAGGAGTTGGTGAGACTACCATGGAGCGTGTTGGTGCTAATTTCCATGATGAAAGTAACCTCGACTAATCTTTACCAATGCAGAGTATTCCTCAGCACCGTCGCCGCCAAAATTCCTAACAACATCCTGCCCTTCATACAAGCGTAATAAGCTGGGTTTTGCGATGGATGGGCATCCATTTGGTGCTGGATTCCAAATGTGGTAAGTGAATTCAGTTTATCACCATGCCATAGGGAGTATGAGAGCTTCCTTTACTGCGCTGTGGCATATGATGACCATCCAAGCACTGTCAAATCTGTGGATATGACAAAACATTTGTTGATCTGATGCCAAAGCAAATAGAAGCTCACTATCTATTGCAGTCTTTATATCCGATGTCTGAACAATTTGGCTAACACTCCCACCAATCTATATAGGCTACCGGGTCTTTGTGCTTGGGTACGACTCAGTCCTCAAGTCAAATCCTGCAAATGATGATGCAAGAGCCTCCTCAAACATCAGCATTGGATGTTTAGCTATTAGTCTGACGGGTAACAACACCCCAGATTGATCGTATGGTGGTTGTTACTACCTATGTTGCATCATTGGACCGATTCCGCTAATACCTGAGGAATATACACAGTATTCATCCCATCGACATGCGCACATATGACGATATCACCACCTTGACAGCCTGCAATTACAATTGGTACCTGGGGCTTGAACTCGTAAATGATGGCCACTCGAGCTACAGAGGCCGATGAGATGAAAGCAAACTTTGATTGAAGCTGATCTGAGTTAAGACAAAGAGATATTTGGTTTGAGAATCCAACTATTCGTACTATAAAAATGTGTCTGAATGGTTTCGCTAACACTCAAGATACCTAGGTATGCATTCTATGTTCACCCTCTGGCCTGCCTCGATATGAGCCCCCTCCCCTCGCATTCCATAAGCACAATGGGTGCTCGATGAACCCAAAATCGCAAGTTATGATGAGAATACACACCATGAAAGTGACTGTGGCCTACCAATAAATAGTGCCACTGGACATATTGAATGAAAATTGAAAAGAACTCTGATACGATGCAGAACAAAACATATCACATCGTCCTTATTCTTTTGTGATATTGGAAGCTCCAACTAACAATGCCGAGACATTCTAGGTCTCCGTTCTGTACGATTAGGTATGATCTTTCCAACCCCACAAGCACAGTTAATATGTGCCACAAAAAACACATTCCATGATGACAATACATTTATACTACACTTTGAGAAACCGTGGATCGCAAGAACCAATGGTCTCAGTGACAAAGTCGAAGAACGTCTGAAGTGAAAGAAAATACCTTATTTTCTTGACTGCTCTTGTAGCCCTTCTGGACTTGCTACGTCGTTTTCTATTTTTCTAACACTCGAGATACCTAGATTATCCCCTATTCACTCTCAGGTGTGGCTCCTTATGACTCCAATGAATTCCTAGCAGCATGACCATCTGGAAGCTCAGATGACGAGGACTAAACTCTCAAGGTGACCCTGATTTTTCGATAGGTCAATGGACACAATCAAACATGAGACTGAACACCGGTACGAGTTTGAACATCAAGGGTGCTCGAATTTTATGACTAACTCGTCCGTTGTTGGGATGCAATGCCACATTGAATCCTTTAGTCCGCGCTTCCAGATCGAAGGATCTCGTCTCCATTGATTTGTTTATATGCATACATAGATATGGTTTGATACAAAGACCCCCGAGACTCTACAAAACAATATCTAGGGGTTTTGCAAGTTTGCAAATGAGAACTTGAATACCCACAACTTTCAATGGCCCGAGGAGTTACATCAATTCGTCTGAAGTGCGACAAATCGAGGGGTTGACTCGGACCAAACCATTGGCAGCTCTGTTTTACCTGTTCAATCCCGACCCCATGTCCTGATATGCAGCTATCTGGCTGATATGGGACCAAAGATGAAAATGCCGATATTCTCAACGCATGACACAATATTCCTCAAACCGATATTGGAGCTTCTCTGTTGATTGCTCCAATGTATCGCCGCAGATTATGAATTTCTCATCCAAGGTATGACTTGACACAGCCCTTGATCCACCAAGAACAATTAAAGCCCACAAAAATGATGACAACCTTTTACTACCAAAACTCCTAGTCCACACACCGTGAGGATAACAGAAAAATGAAAAGAACAGTCTGATGCGAGGCCAATTGCTCCAATTAAGAGTCACTGCAATATCCGTGCCTCTCATTTGCCCGTTCTCCAGTCCTAGAATCCAATATTCAGGTTGACACAAAGCCAAAGAGACCTTGTTTTCCCAATTGACCCTCGGGCTCGTGCTATGTGGTTGGGTCAGATCTCTGTCGCTGACGTTTCCAGTTATCTAGGCAGGCTTTGCATTTTTCGCTCCTGACTCTTTGCGGAGGCCATTCGACATGGTCTTGCAGTGGCTACAAGCACATTGATGGATAAGCTCAAAAACTCGCGAATGATGATTCGTTATGCCTTCTCTATTCGTGGTCTGCCTTGGTAGCACAATCAATAGAGAAAACATACCCGATGCGAGAGACTTGAGAAACTTGAGTCACACGAATACGGAGGTTTGGTCAAGTGAGGTACGTTTGAAATCTCCCTATGCTTTACTATGAAATTTTAGATCAAAACATGGATGATTCAGGAGTGGTTGAGACAAAAGGAGAGAGGTAAGTTTTCTATTCCCCATGACCCTTTGGAGAAATCATTACAGGCTCATATTTGGATGGCACCACGCCTATGCTTCAGTGGTTGATACATTAAAGAAAGGCAAGTTTTCCATTCCCCCATTTCTTATAAATGTTAATGTTTTGAGAGAACCTTCCCACTCCAAAACTTTACAAACCTTCAAAGCCGTAAGTGATGATGGTTTGAACACTACAATTTCAGGTGGCTACGCATTGGCATAACTCCAATGAAAAAAAAAGATCAATAGCAAACGTCTGATACGAGCTACACAAGGTTTCTACAGCAAAGGATTGATTTCTCAAAAGATACTTCTACAAGTCCTCTATACTTGGCTGCAGTGGCATATTATGATATCCAAAATGAGAACGCGCATATGCGGCAGTGGTGGTTGAGATAATATAAAGAAAGAAAGGCAAGGTTATCCGTTCCCTAGATTTTTTGTGATTGCTAATTATGAGCCTTTAGTCCTGGAGACAAACTCACGTCGAATAGATGAATCTATATCAAATGGAGAACTTCGAACCCCATGCGTGATATGACGACTATTGAATTGTTCAATTGAGTGCATATGAATTGGCATACGCGTGAATGATATTCAAGCACATATTTGATACGAGATGACAACAAGGTCTCGGCAGCATAGGGTTGATCAAGAAAGGTACGTTAGCAATTCCCTATGCTTCAGTGATAGCCGAACCTCATGATTCTGGATTAAAATATCCCAAATGGTTGGTTGAGCCTTGAAACTCTTAAATGATGACCGATGAGTGATTTTCGTTCTGACTGGCTATGCATTGCGAAGCCAATGAGAGAAAGAAAAGGCAATTTCTGATAGGAGTTGAATACAAGGCCGCACACCATGGAGGGTTGATCAGATGAATGAGTTTGCAGTCTGTTTATACATTGCTAACGGTTGAGTTGCATATAGCACTTGCGGTGAGAACGCATTTACAGACCACCCTCTCAACTCATAATGAGTTGCACTGGTCCCATACTTCCCTATCCAATGCTACCCCCAACGAGGAAGGAAAAGAAGGTCTGATGCACGAGGAATGGAGTTTCATGGCTAAGGAGGTTTGCCGAGAGACACTGAAATGCGCCTACTTTGGTGACGACCGAGTCTTACACACTTCAGATGACATGGTAAGCTCACTGCCGGAGGGTGTCAATGATAATACAAGGCAATATCTAACTGATTACTAGTCTAACAGTTATGGGAAGGCTTGTTGGAAACGTGGGAGGAGCAGTTGGAGAGGAGCTGGGGTGCCGGGAACCTCGAGAGAGCGCTGCAGCACTGGCTGCAACTGCCACCATAGTTTCTCTTGTATGTTAGAAATCATGTGGCCGACACCATATGGCTATGACAAGAAACTGAAATATTGTCTAATTGGACGGGTGTTTGGCGGTAGATCTGAGTGGCAAACAGCCAATGTCCGGGGTAAACTTGCTATCAGTATGTAGATCTATGAGTCCTAGATGTAGTCCCGTATGAGCGAGGGGCGAGTACCTCGGTTTACCTTCGGAGCATATATACCTGCTCAAGTTTGGCGTAAGGAGAACATAACTCTGGGAAAAAGTGAGACCAATGTTAGAACACCGTAGCTAAAATAACCCAAAAGACCCCAAAAACAAAGATTTGAACAAGATGAAACCCAGTATCATTGAGTAGATTTTCCTGGCTATGCTAGGTATTTTTTCCAGCCGTGCAGGACAGCGCCAGTGAAAAACATATCATCAAGGCACCGGAACAACAACCAGAGGTCATTTTCCCAAATTCCTCTAGCCCGGTCCTCTCATGCAAGAGCGGTTAAACCGAACAAAAACCGCTCAAACATCCCCGAATCCTCCCAAGTCCCCAGTCCACCAAGAAGTCATGGAAATAAGTCGTGATAGAAAAAACATATGAAGACAGACATATTCCATTTCCCCGTTGCCGTAAACTTTTCTTTTCCCTTTCGCCGCGTAACAAGTGAGAAAGAAAAATTTAACGGTAGGACTTCTGGTAACGGGAGCGGGCACCGCGACCACCGAACTTCTTGGGCTCGGCGCGACGGTTGTCGGCAACCAGGAGTGTGCGGTCGTACTGAGCAAGAGCCTGCTTCAGCTGGTTCTTGGAGTGCTCATCGACGTACTTCTGGTAGTAGGCGACAATGGACTTGGCGATAGCCTGACGGATGGCGTAGACCTGCGAGGTGTGACCACCACCGGTAACGCGGACACGGATGTCGACACCGGCGAACTTGTCAACGCCGACGATGAGGAGGGGCTCGTAGACCTAAAAATTCGAGCGTAAATTGTCAGAAATCGATTCCGGAGACATTTTCCCATTGCCATTGTCGTTTGCGATTCGTGCGAATGCGTTCTTCTGTGGCGCACGGGAGTTGGTTGAGCGAATGTATTGTGCGTACCTTGAAACGGAGGATCTCGGGCTGGACCAGGGAGAGGGGCTGGCCGTTAACCTTGACGAGGCCCTTGCCTTGCTGTAAAAAGTCTCAGCATGCTATCCAATTCAATGTGTACATAGCCCCATGATCGCGCAATATGTTGTTTCGCATATCCTTCCAAAATTCAATCCCAATTCTTCATTTCGTGCACAATTCATTTCCGACTGCTTTCCTTCCAGATATTTCGAAACAACGTATTGGGACCGAGGGGGTAGAGGCGTTCATCATACCTTGCAGTGGGCGACAGCGGTGGCTATTGAAAATTGAATGTCAGCTCACGGGTTCATTCATACGGATCTCCGGTCGAAAAAAAAGGGAGCTTACCCGTCTTCTTCTTGCCGAAGCATTGCACACTCGGGACGGAAGCCATGGTGGATTGTCGTGGGGGAGGGAGTGTGTTGTCGAGGGAGATGGAAAAAGAGTCACTTGAATTCACATACCACAGTGATTTGCCCTTCCGTGCGGGTTTCGCTTAGTGTGCGACGCTAATTCTACTTCGGGACTAGCGTGGCACGAGACTTAGGGCTTGGTCACATGACCCGGAGAACTTCAGTCGGGGGCGGGTTAGAGGCTACAAGCATACAGGGAACGCTGAGATCATCATTATCTCGGACATTGAAGTTCTGGATCTGTTTTTGTTGTTGGGATCTTCAATTAGACTTCTCCGCCTTTCATTAATTGTCTAATTGCCCCCACCTCGACACCTACACTACCCTCTGCCGCATCAACAAGATGTCGCAACTCGTTGGCAAGGTAAACAGCTTCAATGCGGAGGCTTCCGGGCCAACCGCGCATGCTCTGCATACAACCAAGCAACCCATCTCTAACAATTGACGCCTTAGACTCGTCTCGCCTACTCGCGCACATGGCACTATGTCGACGCCGGTGCCGACGAACGATCCCTGGGCCGCCTCGCCTCGTCGATCGCCCTCGTCTTGATGGGCAAGAACAAGCCCATCTACGACCCTTCAACAGATTGTGGTGACTACGTGGTGGTTGTGGGATGTCATGACCTCAAGACAACAGGAAAGAAGCGATTCCAGAAGAAGTACTACACGCACACGACGCGGCCCGGTAGCTTGAAGAGCATGACGATGGATCAGATGTTTGCTAAATGGGGTGGTGGTGAAGTCCTGCGCCGCGCTGTCAGGGGCATGCTGCCTAAGAACCGACTGAAGGATATCCGCCTCGCTCGATTGAAGAGTAAGTGCTATGTTGCTACTGGGCTCCTACTCCCTGGATGGGTTACTTGATTACTTGATGAGAGATATTTGGGTCCATCTTCAAAAAACGACCTGGACCCCATACATTCACATTCAGTCCATCTCTTTTTCATATTTTGATCACAGTCTAACCTGATATCATGCAGCTTTCGAAGGTGTCGCCCACCCCTACAAGGAGAATATCGTCAAGTTCGGCAATCAATCAGTGATCGGAAATCTGCCCGAAGTGCAGGAAGCATTCAAAGCGGCCGCCGATAAGCCAAGCGCATAAAGCATCCTATCTTATATCTCCTTCTTTCGTCATTTTACAACACCGACCTAAACCGGGTCTGTGTCTGCCTGTATTCTATTCTCCTGCGATGTTATGATCCAACCGCAAAAGCGCATGGGTGTGGAGTCCATTTGGGATATTGCTTTTGATTATCTACTTCGTTGACTTGGCCTCGGACTTTTCAACTTTCGAGCCTGCGGTTCTTTTGAAATGTACTTATAGCACATACAATCACAATACCACGTACTATACAATTCTTTTCTATCTTGTCTACGATGGTAAATTATGAGGAGAGGTGCGCAGGATTGGATTTGAGATATAGGGGAGTCTGATCCCAGAGGTATACGGAATGGATATATGTACAAGAGAAAGAAACACAAAACCAAGCTAGCGCCCATGTCGAAGCTCGCCGACAATCTTCTAGAAAGCATTTACAGCTTAGCCTTTTGGCCAGCACGACCAACGGTGCATTTGATAAGACCATTGGGGTTGGACTGAGGAGCGTACACCTCGGCATCCTTGCCAGTGTTCTTGATGCCCTTGTGCCAACTGAGATCTAAAACCGCAGAGATTAGCATAATTCCAAGCCTCGCAAGGGAAAGGGTCAAACGTACCAACTTCGAAGAAATGTTTATTAGGCAAAGCATACTCAACGGTATCCAGTAGAGGCACAGCAGCAAGAATCTGATCTGCCATCTTGTACATCGTCGCCTGGACAGAGGCACTATTATCCTCGGCAAAGGTCTTGAGGGTAATAGCGCGGGCCGCCTCCCAAGCAGGATTGAACTTCTCAAAGTGCGTCTTGACCTCGGCGAGACCAGTGAAGCGGCGCCACTGCCATTTTGCTGCGACATCGGTGCTAAGGAGACGGTCCCAGGTCTCCTTAAGCGTGGTGTACTCGTCGCGGACGAAACCCCAGAACTGGGAACCAGTGCTCTTCAACACAGTCAGGCCGTTGATGGAGGAGTTGATGTCGATACCCTTGCCCTCAACGACATCAACCTGCACCTCGCGGGTCTCGGAGCCTGGCTGGATGAACGAGTGCGGGTGAGGCTTGCCGTCGATGTCCATGCGCACCCAGCGGTGGGTCACGATATTGACGTGCGCCGCGTGGATGTGGCTGTACTTCTCGATGAAGTGTGTGCCCAGGATTGAACCGAACAGCTCCGGTGGGTCTACGGGGTTCTGCTTGGCTGTGATGAAGATGGTGTTCTTGATCGAGTCGGTTGCGACAACGACGCTGTTGTCGGCTTTGGTGTAACTGTGGAGACCTTTGCGTTAGCTTCAACTTTTTTTTTTGGTAGATAAGAGATGTCGCCAAACTGCTAAACTTACGAGGTCTCAATATCACCCTCCAGCAAGACACAGACGGTCATCTCCACGACAGTTTGGATACCAGTCTTCTCATCCCGGTGCACCTTGCACACGCGGACGTTGTCCTTGCCGTAGCGGGCAGCTGCCAATGCGCTCATCTTGAATTGTGGGTGATAATATAAAATATTAGGGAATAGAGAAGAATACTGAAAAGGCAAATAATTGAATGCAGATCCAATCCTATTTATTCCGGAACCAAATTGGCTGATCAAGAGAGTATCGGGCACCTCCGATGGCCGCGATGGTCGCGAGTGGCCGGTCTCCCCTCAAAACCCCGATCTTATCAGTTGCCGATTAGACAGATTCTTGATGCCCAGGTCCATGTATGGCATGATACCTCCAAGACAGCATTCTCAACGTATCGTACAGCAGAACACAATTCCTTTTTCCCCAGATTTTCGGACAGACAATTGCACAATGGCTACGAATCCCGAAAATCCGACCTCCGGGTCTGCAGTCAACTGCAAACCCCTAGATTATTATATTTCAAATCCCTTGCAATTTGTACTACGATGACTCGTGCAATCGCTGGAAATCCCGGACATCAGCCTGGATCCTGGCGAGCTGCGAGCCGTGAAAGACGTGGAAGTCCTGGGGATAAACACTCGGCGCTGACATGACTTCCTTCCTGCAGGATATGCTCACGCAGTGACCTCATAGCCGGTGGTACAGTGGGCGAAAAATGTCACCATCTGTACGTTGACTCGCCTTGATGACGAGAGATCATGACCTTTTGGGGGTTCTTCCTTGTTCATTTGTGTACATTCTACACTGGGGGTACTTCGGGGTTAAAACGGTTCTGCTTCTACGGCCGGATATATATTGCATCTATATCCCCTGTGATGTATATCAGGTTGCTCATGCAAATCAGGCATCTACAAGGCCTACGGAACGCAGTAGATCTTCCCGAACAACCCACAAGGAACACAAACGCCATCAGGGTGCTTATCCCGGCTTCACAGAACCTGGAATTAATCCTGGCATCTTCACCGGAACGCGGTAGTGGAAGAGCCTCAGTACCCACAGAGCACAGGAGAGTACCTCCGTATCGCAATAAGAAGATGCCTACCCTACACATCCTGTCACAGCATGTGCAAACGTCAAACACACTGGCGAATCTAGCGGTCAACAACCATTGGCATGATGGAGTTTATTTATCTCCATAGGAGTGACAATATTACCCGAGACCTATCATGTGCTCAGCCACCTGCCAACAAAGCTGCTTCGTCGACCAAAGCAAAGTTTTGTCTTTGGGCAGGGAAAAACCAAGATATTTAACAACGTGGTCTCTTTCATACATACCGGACTCCAGATACCCATCCAGGGAACAACCCCAAGACCCATGCCCCAGTTCGACAATAATGTGTATGTCAGATCCAGATAGCAAGACTGAATTCTTTTTTTTTTTTTTGGCTGAATAGTAATCGACGGAGTGCATCATAGAAACGAAGGCGAAGCACACCCAATCTCCAGCTTAGATTACAATCCTCGAATCGGAGCGTGTGGCTGGCGGTGTGGTATGCCTGCAACGTTGATCTGACGAATCTTGCATGCAGTGCACATTTCCAAGCCCTATCAATCAACATTATATTCCGCGATTGGGTCAGACGTCCATGAGTAAAAGGCGGGCAAGCTCTCTTCGGTTCTCGGCCAAGGCTGGGCTGACGGGCTTGTTGCTTCTTCTTTGTTCAACAAAGAGTCTTCACTTGCCAATTATGCCTGGTATTTGTCGAACAATCTCCGGTTCTGCTTGACTCTTGGTTTTTGACTGCTTTCGGGTTATTCGGAAATTCATATCAGTGACTCGGTTTACCGACGAAGCTCCTTTGTTTCCATCTCGCAGACAAGCACTCGTTTTTCCCCCAGGGTAATCATGACTATGGGCGATCTATCAAACCTCAAGGGAGAGTCAGGGGGAAAGTGTGCTCCCTGGCTGTTGAAGTTTCGTTCCTCAACAAGTTTTATCATTGCTGCAGTCTGGATGTCTACCTTCACGGTATGTGAGAGTCTAGTTGGCTAGTGTTATAAGTCCTTAACTGACCAAGACTCAATTTGAATAAGGAATTCCTCCTATATGCCATGGTAAGCAAAGACTTTCCATAATGTGGATTGGACACAGGGTCAATAAACTGCAGATAGTCCCGGTGATGCCAACAGTCCTCATGATCCGAGCCGGAGTCGAATTTAAGCACCGTATGTCTTGTTCCTGTCCTCGCTAACAGCCTTCCTCTCAAATTATCGCATACTCACTGTTAAGTAGGAGAATATTGGGTCAGTGTCCTTCTCATGTCCGAAGCAGGCACGGCTCTGCTGATGTGTCCCATATTCGGCTACCTGGTCGACCGCGGACGCACACGTCGACTACCCTTCATCGGCGCCCTGGTCATATTAACCGCCTGCATGCTGGTCTTGCAGTTGGCACATTCCATCGCTGCATTTGTCGCGGCTCGTGTACTCCAAGGCATCGCAGCCGCTTTAGTAGTAGTAGCGTCATTCGCTCTCATCGGCGATGCTGTGTCCCAGGATCGTCTCGGTCAGACGATAGGATATCTGGGCTCCGCGATTGCTTCAGGCTTTTTGCTTGGTCCGTTCCTCGGGGGCGTTGTGTACAATTCTGGCGGGTACGATGCCGTGTTCTGGTTTGCGTATCCTATTATTATGCTTGACATGGTTATGCGGCTCATTTTGATTGAGAAGAAGGTCGCTGCTCAATGGACTGGAGAATCGAATGGAGATTTGGGGTCCGGTCTAGACACCGCGCAGCGTATTCCCTCTGTCGGTTTTCACGAACCACAGGTCATCCAGAGAAGAAAATGGCTCGTTATCTTCCGGATGCTCAAGCAGCGCCGAGTATTGATCTCTTCGTGGGCACTTCTCGTCCAGGGAATCTTGCTTTCTGCTTTCGATGCGGTATGTAACAGTCTCAATGTCATTAGCATGAAGCACCCTTACTAACCACACCAGACCCTTCCCATATTCGTCGAAACGATATTTGGCTGGACCGCCCTCGGCATGGGGTTAATATTCCTCCCCATGGCTGTCCCGGCCTTCTTCGAACCGCTGTTCGGCAGATTCACCGACAGGTTCGGTGCCCGCTTCGTAGCCTTTGGCTGTTTCGTTTTTCTCTCGCCCACCCTCATCTGTCTCCGGTTTGTCCAGACGAAGTCAAACGAACAGACTGCGCTTCTAGTTTCATTGCTCTTCCTTACCGGGATCTTCCTCCATGCCTGCGCCCCAGCCATGTACGTTGAGACGCAGCGCGCACTCACAGCGATGGAGCTCAAGGACCCAGGAATACTTGGACCCAAGGGTGCTGTGGCGCAAGGATTTGGATTGCAGAGTATGTGTCAATTTGCGGGAGTATTCTTTGGACCCCTTTGGGGTGGTTTTGTCGAGTATCGTTTTGGGTGGGGCGCGATGACGGGCACTTTGGGGGTCTTGGTAGCGCTGACCGCACTTCCGATGTTGTGGTTAGGAGAAAGTGAAGAGGAAAGGGCTCTGAGTTGAATTAGCGTTACGCAGTTAGGCAGCACTTTTCTTTTGCTCAAGGCAAGTATCAGTTCTGCCTACATCATACATATATAGGTCACCTCGGAATGGACTATACGTTGATGGATTTCCTACATTAGCAACTTTTATAAAGCGCTGTTATCCGTATACTTGTATGCCTGGAATATTTGGCATAGTTTGTACTTTGATCTTTAATTATAGCTACAAGAATAGCTGTCCGCCTATGCAGCCTTGTGATGTATCTTTGGTCTGTTCATTAGTCTTTCTGGTGATTTCAGTGCTCTTCGCAGATGTCTTTTTGTAAGATATTTGCTTCCCCCCTCTTTATAGGTAGATAGACAACAGAAAGAAAGCAAGAGAGAGAAAGGAGATATCTAACTGACGACATGGTCCTAACCCAATGGGAGGCCCACAAAGTTACTTGGTGAATTCTACTTAGCTTGAGAGTCGAGACGTGATTCTTAGGGTTAGCAGCATTTGATAGATTCCTCCAATTAGAAACCAAAAACGGTTAGACCCGACTCCACTATGATGTTAAGGTTATCGCCTGGACTATCCCAATACGGTTCCAACCTATTTAGGTCTTTGACATTGGTCTCTCATCATATTGACCATATTGGGATCTCACATTCAGCATAAATATCCAACCTGCCCTGTTCTTCATGCTTCTTTTCATAGCCCAAGACTCGCATCTTTCACTGTGAGTAAACCAGTCTATCAACATCACATCATGTACCACACACATGTGATCTAACCCACCCAGACCTCTATAGCCCAAGCTCACATACCATCTACCAACCTACCCAACAACAACCATGCCTGCAACCAACAAAACCTGGCACATCCAGCACCGCGCCCTCGCGCAACTAGACAAAACAAAGCGATACATCTGCCCAGCAGAAACAAGCCCCCACCTAGCAACCCTCCTAAGCTTCCCCTCACGATGCTCCACCCTACCAGAACTGCACGCCAGGACAAGCAACGAGATAATCTCCCTCGCAGCAGCAATCGCAGCCTTCGAGCCCGTCCGCCTCCACACCCGATCAGAAGACATCCCACAAGCCCAAGCCCTCCTTGACAAACGAACCACCCTCCTACCGCAGCACCGCGCCAACATAACCATCATCGCAGCCCCAACAAACCACTGCTGGATTCGCGACACAGGCCCCGTTTACGTCCGGAGCGCCGACGCAGAAGATAAAACCCGCTACGCAATTGACTTCCGCTTCTGCGAATGGGGCCACAAAACAACAGAGCGTATCTACGGCGCCAGTGTCTCGTCTACAGCGGCAAAGGCGCTGGAGGATTCCCCGCAGTACGCGGAGTGGCCGGTCATGGACGACGAAGCCATGCGCGAGAACACGGCTTTCGCGAGTGCTGTTCTGGATCTCGAGAATGCGAATACGGATGCTGTGATGGATGTTGTTAAGCGCGTGCAGACGGATCTCAGACTTGAAGGTGGGGGCATTGAAGTCGATGGCGAAGGGACGTTTATGGCGACGGAGAGTAGTATTATCGGGGATTCGCGGAATCCTGGACTCGGGAAGGCGGAAATCGAGGCTGAGCTCGGCCGGTTGCTAGGTGTTAGCACCTTTATCTGGTTTCCTGGTCGGGTTGGGCTTGATGTTACGGATGTGCACGTTGATGCCGAGGCTAGGTTTGTGAGACCCGGGGTTGTTGTTGTTTGTCGTCCGCATGAGAAGGCGGAGAGGGTGCATTGGGAGGTCTATTCAGAGATTCGGGAGGTCTTGGAGAAATCTACTGATGCGCGTGAGCGTCGCTTCGAGGTTCATGATGTTGTTGAGCCGGATCCGAGCTGCGTTAAGGGAGATCTTGCTGGGGAGGAGGAGGCGCCGGCGGCTTCGTACGTTAACTTTTATTTCGTTAACGGGGCGCTGATTATGCCGGCATTTGGGGATGCTGAGGCTGATACGAAAGCTTTTGAGTTGTTCAAGAGTCTGGTTCCTGAGAGGGAGGTTCGTCAGGTTGAGGTTAATGCCTTGCCCAGGACTGGGGGTGTGCTGCATTGTGTTACGCAGCAGGTGGTGTGAGGGGGGTGGACATGCAGAATCTCGTCTTTTACTTGACAGTCAGATACGAAAAACACTAAACCTAATACCTTATGCATATGCATGTAGTCTATAAAAACAAGATCCCAACAATATTTGAACATGTGGTATTGAGTGCTGGTATCGAAAAATCATGTTTTAACCAACCTGCAAGTGTCGAAGAATGTAGACAGAACAAAAAGAGAGGAGAGGGAAAAGCCATAAGATAGACTAAACAAACCACTCCCCACACAGATCATAACTCATGTAGAATAGTGTAAGATGTATACCTTTTTTTTTGGGCTTCTTTTGTACCAGCAAAATCGCCAGCAAGAAACCAATATCCCCACTTGGAACCTGATATCTTCCCCCAAATCCAAATTCCAGACTTAGACAGATATCAGAGAACCCAGGGAAGAATCGAAAAAGAGGGAGAGAGAGAAAAAAAAAGAGAACACCGTCCCAGGACGCCCAGTAATGCCGCGCCACATAACAACCCCCCCCCCCAAAAAAAAGCGCGGGCGAGACAAGGCCAAGAAAATAAACACGTATAAACCTCATGATAGAACAGAGCTAGAAACCCATCCGATCAAGCATCCGATTGCCGTCCCAGGATGATAGCCGGCATCTGAGTCAGAGCCAGAGTCAACCCAGAACACCAACACCAAACCAAACCCAATAAACCCCTCCTGAGGCTCCATTCCCCCCACATCTTATACCTCAAAGACTCAACTGATCGATACTCCCCACCCGCCCACTCCCGCCAAGCCGCCCCCCACCCTTCGTAACCATCCCGAGCCGATAAAAGCGTTCTTCGCCAGCCGGCGTCCTCCCACCAATATACCACTTCTCAGGACCTATAGCATCGCGGAACCCACCCGAGCCGCTGGATGAGTCACTCCCACGGCGCTGGCGGTCCGCAGGGCCACGGTTGATCGGGATAGGTGTTGAAGTGGATGATGGTGGTGTGGAGGGGACGGAGGGTTGGTCGTGGTGGTAGTGGTGTGAAGGGGCCGGGCTTGGGCCTTGGACTGGACCGGTTGGTGCTGTACTTGTTGCCGAGGAGTTGGTAGAGGAAGTGTGGGTGTGAGTATGGTGGTGGTTGTGGTGATTGTGGTGAGTGTGGTGAGGTGCGGAAGCGGATGATGGTGCTGAGGAGCCTTGGGCTGAGTTTGCTGCTTTTGTGGCGATGGCGCGGGCACTCTGGGAGATTTGGGCGGAGGAGATGGTTGAGTTTGTGCCGACTTGCTGGGTGGTGGGTTTATAGGTTGACTGGGCGCGGAAGGCGGCCAGGAAGTTGGCGAGGAATGGACGGTTGTTGGACATGGTGGGACAGATCTGTAAGACTGTGTAGACTGTATAGAGAAGTGCCTATGTGTAGAACATGAAGAACATGTAGAACAGAGAAGTGTTTCGAGAAATCCCGATCCCGTAGGCGCTCCAATCACGGGTGCTGGATTATAGCCATGACGTTACGTAGGAAGTTTCCGGGTTATACCCATTTTCTCCATTTCTCCGCTATTCCGCTACATGGACATATCCTATCACCTGATACTATTAGTCCCTTTCTCTTCTATTATAGACACTTGCCCAAGTCAAAATGGATCATAAGTCTATTTCTAATTGCTTTTCTAACCCAAATAAAACACCTTAAATCACTCAAATTCCCGAAGCACACATATGTCCTGCCATGCCGACTTTACATGAGAAAAGAGGCCATGCGATGCAGAAAAAAAACGAGAAAGGAAAGATAAGAGCACATGAAGAAAATGGACTGCAAGAATGAAAGAAACATGGTAATTCGACAACAACCATCCCATAAAAGATAATATATATAAAAAAAAGCTTTTCTTCTTTCTGATGTCGAACACTCGCGCAAAAGATGAACACATGCCCATGTCTATGTTGTGGACGCCGAACAAACCACCCACCATACCATCTGCCCCTCTCATCGGGGGTTCAAGATAAAAGATAACCAGACTCGCAAACCACTTATGTAAGAATGCACACCCACACCGGATGGGATCAGAATAAAAAGAAAAAGATAGATCGAGGACAAACGATACTAAAACAAGACCGGAACGGGGACGCTAGGAGTACGAAACACCGCAAGCTGAAAGCCGGCAGCGAATGAACCAAAAGGACTTTCGTAAACGGGGTTGCTGAGACATCGTGACCAGTGGATTTGCACCAGCAGAGAAGCCAGGGACGAAGGCCTAGAAACAACAGTTGAGAGGGTGGAGAGCAATAGTCCTACCCACGGCGTGAAGAAGCAGAAACCCTTGCATAGTTTCTCGCTTCCTCAAAACGCTTTTTCAATCTCATGCCTCGTAGTCATCGTCTTGCTTTCTGATCGAATTCACCGTCTACTGTCTCGCGGGCTGCACGGTACCTGCATAGTATTGTTAGAACAATTGTCATGAATGAGCTAGGTAAGGTAAGATCTAACCGTCTCCGCTCAGCGTAGTCGAAGCAAGGTACAGTCCGTTCATACCGCTCTCAGGACCGGTCGAGGCGGGGTAGAACTTGCGGTCGTGGTCGACGGGAGCGTGGATCGGCTCCTGGCCCGCGGCCATGGAGTGGGGGAAAACGGGGTTAATGTAACCGTCGGAAGAACCGTGCTGAAACATCGAATTCCAGTCAACACCCGGGTGATGTGAATGGGGACCGGGCATGACCGGTTTGTGGTCATGATAAACCGGGGGCTTTACCTGTTCAAGGGGACGATCAACCGTCAGCTGCTGGCCATGGGCATCGACACCAGGCTGCATGAGATACGGATTCTGCTTGGGTCCAGCCATCCACGAGGCTCTCGCGTGCGCCTGACCAGCGGAGAACGCGTCGTCACCGGGACCACGGTTCATGCCATTGACAGACTGCATCGTGAAGCCTAGCGGCTGCTGATCCGTATAGGCAGGACGGCCGGAGGCCATTCCATTGCCATTAACGGCCCCATCGAATTGCGCACCCATAACGCCATTGGAGTGGGGGACAGGATTACTAACTTCATCCTGGAGCGGCTTAGGGGGGTTAGCCGCGGCAGCTGCAGCTGCTTGCTGCTGAGACCGCTTCAGATGGGCCTGAGGGTGGGACAAGTGGGTCGCACCGGTCGGGTTACCCCGACGGATCGAACACTTTTGGAAGTGACGCTTCAAAATATCACTGCGGGAGAAAGTGTCCTTGCATAGAACACACATGTATGGGCGGTCACCGGTGTCTATATAAATCAGGAAAAAAATAGCTGTTAGCAAATCTTGATCATCTTGGGAAATTTGTTCTGTTTTTCTTTCGATCTGGCTTCCAAAAACTCACGTCTCAACAGATGGCGCTTGAGGTGCTTGGCGTGGAGGTAAGTCTTGTTACAGTGCGGGCAGGGGAATTTGCCATCCGCATCCTTAGCGGGAATAGTCGTGCTCTTAGCTGTACCATTGACACCGTTGGAAACCGGAGTCGCGCGGCCCGGGACACTGGGCAAAATGCCACGGCGGCCCTGAGATCCAACAACCTGCGTCCGTGGAGGTTCCTTGGCGTAAGGGGAGCCATTCGCGCCATTCACATCAGGAGTCATACCCCAACCCTTGCCATCGGAGTAACTAAAGGCACCGGAGGGAAGACCATTGAAATCCGGGCGACGGTCGCGTGGGGGTGCCGGAGCAATCGGCTGAGGGTAGCTCTGAGCGGTGGATGCGGGCGGAAGCACGCTCGGGGGTGGGGGGTACTGCTGATGCGCCTGTGTTTGAGGGTTAGGAAGGTTCAACAGAGACGATGGCGGAAGGCTACCGACAGTCGTGTGCGGCATCATAGGGGCCTGGGAAGCCCCGTAGACATCGTGAGTTGACGGAGGATACCGCGACAAATCCGGACGGTAAGGCTGTCCCATGTAATGGTGAGGCGCGGGCGACTGAGGGTGATGAGGCTGCAAAGGAGGCAGGGTATGCGGCTGCGAGACCGGATACTGCGGCTGCATCGAGTATTGTGGCATGTGCATGCTCGAGATGGGAGTCGAAGACATGGGCGTGGAGCCTGGAGGCAGGCTGGTGGATGGAGGACGGGAAGGGTGAGATCTGGGATCCATTGTGGACAGAGGAAAGATTGTGTGGGAAAAAGAAAGAAGTTGTTCACGATAACTCAATCATCAAACCTGCACTCTGGATAAATTTTTTTTCTTTGAAGCCAAGGAAGCTCCTTGTTTGAAAATTTTCCTTCGAACAGAAAGAGAGAGGCAAACGGTCACAGGGTCTCACGGGTTCACACGAGTCGACTCCACACAATGAGAGAAGAGGAAGAAGGAGATGCTTAATTGAAGAAGATTCCCCACGGTCACCCACCAGAAGAAAAAAAAAGGATGGTGATTTATCCGCACGTTGTCACCGTCGATGGTTCTGTATCCACCGAAGAAGCGGGCGTGCAAGTGGGTCTCTCGCAGCAAAAACAACTAGTCCGAGATCTGCTTCGCGTCAAGATAATCCTTGAGATCGAGAAATTGACTCTGAAATAGCCGATGAAAAGGAAATATTTCAAATGAAATGAAGAAATTGAAGCAGGGAATTGAATTGAAGAATTGGGGGAAATTGGGGGAAGAAGAAGAAAATGGGGGATAAGTTTCTTGGTAAAGACGAAAAGGAAAATTCTAAGAAAGACCGGGTCGAAATAAAAAAAAAGACAGAAAAAGACAGAAAAGACGAGAAAAGACAAAAAAAGACGATCGTTCCTCGGGGAGGCAAGAGGCGAGAGAAGAAAAAAAAAAAGACTGAAAAAAGACATGTAATTACAGTATTTTCAATTACAAATTACAAATTTTACACGGCCGTCTTCCGAACTATGGCCGATAGCGGTAGTGTAGACGTATTAGGATTGGGATTATTGGATTTCTGATTTGTTGAACTTATTAGTATCAGATTTGGATTTAGATTTGCAAAAAGAATAAAAGGAATAGTAAGAATAGTAAAAATATTAAAAAAAAGGAGAACATAAGTTTCCAAATACATAAGACACATAGACACGGACACATCGTCAAATCTCAAGGATTTTTAATCTCCCTACGCGTCCGGACATGATGACGCACTTCCAAGGTATATCCCACCTGGGCCGTGGACGGATGATAATAAAACCCCGAAACCATAGTCAAAATATATGATGTCCTCCATATATTTAAATCATATACAGTCTGATTATTCCCCGGGATATACATTATGTATCATGTATTCTGGAGAATGTAGAACCAAAACATAAAGCTCACTACCACATGCTGTAATCAGGGTTCCTTGGCCTCCGATCGCGGTCTTTACCAAACTGCCATTGGGAGTGACCACTGAAACTATCCAACTACTCCGTAGTTATAGTATCTGATGCTGGAGTAGATCTTATAATTGCAGATGGAGCCATCTCCCCGAGGGTGGATTATGAGTTGACCCTGGCTCTTCTTTGTTTTGGGCTCCGCAGTGGCTGACAGGCCCCGCAGCTGACATGGAGATGAGATCTGATATGTATTCACGCCATTCCTCGACCACTCCCCTAAGTACTGTTGAATTAATGTAGGACACTATATTCTAAGTATGTAGATAGATAAGATCTCAGTCCACACAAAACCACTAACCACTCTACACCGGGGCATTGATCTCTTCAAGCACGTCATCTGGGGGAGTCTCGGAAGAGGGCCAGGGCCCGGGAAGATGAGCTTCATTGAGCTCGGTGATAGAAGACCTCACCATGCATCCTTAACTCCCTCAACCTGCAGCCTGGAGTTGGCTCCCTGCACGCAGCCCGGATGTGCACGGTACATATCCAGAAGAGGGGACATGCGTTCTTAGGCCGTCTTTTTTCAGAGAAGACTGGGGGATATCCGACCGGCTTGATGTAACGGCCATGCAGTGCTCTATTTAGTGGATGCGCTGTAGCCGCTTGCTGTTCCGCAATGGGTTCCGCACTTAGCTTCACGGGCTGACTCGAAATGAAATGACCCGAACTATACCATAAAGAGAAAACTAAGCGTATTGGTCTCTTGATAGTATAAGTCTAATTGTCTCACTGGGACACTAATACTATTGCTGCCTAGGTGCTCCAATATAGGGAAATAGAGGGGTGTTTCTCCTAAGTTCAGCCACACAGGAATGATCTAGACAAAATTGGCATTCAGGGGGTTCCCCTTATTGGACATGGCTACTTCCGTGGCCTGACATAGGTACAATGTTGGAGGTTAGCGTACTTTTGCACATATTTCATATTCTATTATTAAGCATCTCGACCGAGTAACAGCTGGGCTAAAGTTTCAGATCCTGCGCGCCATTCGAGTTCCGTGTGACTACTCCATACGGAGTACGTAGTTC